TTTAACACATTATTGGTAATTTGAAATTATTATTCTTTGTTTGGAAGCTTATTTTGTGCTTCAAATTCATTTTTCATTCTGTGCACAGTTTGAATTTTGAAGCATTGGTTGACCTCTGAAGCCAATTTTTGTTGAATTTAGTGTTTGAACTCTAAAGTGTTCAAAGTACAATGTACTACTGAAATAAAAGAAATTGCTTGTGCCCTATTTTTTATTATAGTAAACCTGCTTTGCAACATACTTTGGTCCACAAGCTTCCAGATGCCCTCAAGAAAAAAGCTTTTCAGTGTGACAAATTCATTTTTCATTCTGTGCACAGTTTGAATTTTGAAGCATTGTTTGAACTCTGAAGCTAACTGTGCTGTGGCACAATTGGCTTCAGAGTTTCTCTATTACCACGGTGTCATCAAAAAGCCAAAAAGCTTCTCTATTACCACGGTGTCATCAGCAAACTTCAGACCTTGAAAACGTTCTTTCAAAGGTCCAAACAAGTGAAAATCTGTTAGCACCAAGTCCAGACTGTGGACCTCAAATATCAGATTACTTAGTGTATTCACTGTATGCACAGCTGTATGGAGTCAGGCATTGTCATAAAGCAGAAAAACTCTTTTTGAGAGAAGTCTGCAATGTTTCTTATCATATAGTAGGCTTTAAACTGTTCACTGGCAAGCCACAGTATCAGTGCACTAGTCACAGTTTGATCCTTTTCCTAGAAGTACGACAATACAGTCATTAACATCCCAAAATGTCCCAGCAGAAGTCTCTGTCTTGAAGTTTTTGTGGACCAGAGATGACATGTGCTTCCACTGCATTGATTGTCTCTTACTCTCTGGTTCAAAATAATGCATCTAGGACTCATCTCCTCTTACAATTTGAGGAAAAAAAGCATCTCCTTCATGAGCATAATGATCCAAATGCTTCTGACAAATTATTTGCCACACAAACTTGTGATCAATAGACAGCTGCCCTGGGAACCATCTGCTAACACTTTCCTATATCTAAAGTTATCACACACAATATTGTACACAGAGCCAATACTCATGTTAAATTCTAAGGCAATTTCATCAATAGTAACTTGCCTGCAGTCATGGATCAGTGAAACAGCAGATCATGCTGTTTCACTGTCCCAGTTAGCATACCAACCAAACTCCCACTCTGGTGTTCATCACTGATGTTTCTGTCTTCTGTTTTTTTAACTCTTTTCACTCATTCATACACTGTCCCCTGACTCAAACACTGTCTCCATATGAATGTTTCATTCTCCAGTAGATTTCAAAAGGCTTCACTCCCTCAACCATAAAAAGAAAACAAATGACATTTTGTTGCTCCTCCACAATGCAATTCAACAATGAACCAGCCATGTTGTATAAGCTATTGCGTAGACAAATACTCAATCATTACAACCCCTATATGGCATATTGCTAAGGAGTCAATTTGTGTCCTACAATAAGATTTTTCATAGTGAATACATCTCCACAAATTAGATCAAAATTCCTGTTATTTAATGACTTTCCTTTGTAAATATCAAGCAATTTGGACTAAATGTAGATGATTAAATTGTCATCTTGTATAAATTTACTAATTAGAATTTAAATATGAAATATAATTGAAAGTTTTGGAAAAAATTTTAAAAATATATACAGTCAACCCCCCTATAACACTGTTGATTATTCCATTTTATATGAGTCACTTAGATTTTACAAATATGTGAGCCGTCCATAGTCCAGCACACATATTTGTAAAATCTAAGTGACTCATACAACATGGAATTCATATAAAATGGAATAATCAACAGTGTTATGGGGGGGTCGACTGTATTAGTATAAAAGTAGGATCACTGAAAGAGATCATATATTACATAGAGCAGTGGTCCCCAACCCCCAGACCGCAGACCGATGCTGGTCCGTGGATCAAATGGTACCAGGCTGCCCAAGGAACATTAAATTACTGGTATTTCCATTTTATTTACTATGGTGTATTTCTCTTGGGTTTGTGCAACTTTTAATGGACGACGGAACAACGGAACAACAGAATAAACTGGACATAAGAAACACACTTCGGGTGTCATTGTCTCCTATTACCCCCAGATGGAACCGTCTTGTTGCAAAGAAACAAGCTCAGGGTTCTCATTGATTTAATGTTCTAGTGAGTTAAAATGTTAAATCACATTATATTCATTTTTTGGTGTAACTATATTTTATTTTGAAAACATGTTTAAATACTGTACAATTAAATTAAATCAATCTAAAATATAAACAATGTCCCTCTCAGTGGGCCACGATGAAATATCAAATGTTGACCGGTCCGCGGCGATAAAAAGGTTGGGGATCACTGACATAGAGGACAGCACATTTCATTCAATTTTAAAGTAAAAAACAACATAAACAAAAGCAGATGACAAAAAAATATTTCTTCTTCAAGTTACTTAAATGCCAATTCTATATAATCAAATGATAAATGGGTGTTCTTATCTATAAAAATATCAAAAATTATAACTAATGTCTTTAATAAATAAATAAATGTATTAAAAAATTAATCAAGAATTCAATAGTAATGAAGTGATACTGTAAAATTAATTAATTTGTAAAATTTTTATGTAAATTAGTATGACAACACTAATGTATGCATAAAAAAAAAATAATTGTAAAGTTAATTCTTTAATTGATTTAGTGTTGATTAAGGATTTTTTTTCTGTTAGATTTCTTCTCTAAGCAGCTTAACTAAAACTTAATTTATATTTTTTTTAACTTTAAATTTTTATAAAGTTACTTATCTTAATAACTGGAGAAAAAGCTCAGTGCTGACAAATTAGCTAGTTTTATTAAAAAGTTTTTTGTTTTTTTTTATAAATTCTGATTAAGACAGTTCTTGTTAAATCAATTAAATAAATTAGCTCTTTTCAGGCTCATTAAAAACTAGGAGAGACCCTTTTCTTTATTACAACTTTGAAGACTGATTTTATCTCCTAAAAATTTTTATAAGGTGAAATCAGTCCTCAAATTGGGCAATTAGTTTTGTAAAGAAACATTTATCCAATTTAAATGAAACAAAATAAAAGTATTTCAAGCAATACAGACAGATTCTTATTGGGCTAAAATTTCACTAATTAGTTATTAAGATTCTACACATGTATGCATTTAAGTTGCCATATCATATTAAATTTAACCATTAGATATAAATTAATTTAATTTTGAATATTCTGAAAAGAAAGATCAGTCTACAGTGGAACTTGAACCTACAACTGCTGCTTATCTTGCAGATGTGTTATCAGTTATGTGATCTTTGATCAATGATCTTCTGTATGATCTTTATTTCCAGACCAAACAATTTGGAAAATATAATTATAATGATCACTCACTGTGCCAACTATGCACCCATGACTCTCCATGGTACTCAGCTGACATGATCCTTAGAATTTTTAGTCTTTATGCTAGTATGATATATGTATGTATATACTATATAAATTACATATAAAACGAAACTCAACATATTTTTGTCTGAAAGATCAAATGGAGACCCAGATAGTATAACTAACAATGCATCTACATGGTAAGCAACAGTTGTCAGTTCAAAACTTACTCCAGGCCAATCATTTCTTCCAGAATATTCTAAATTTTCTGGAAATTATTTTCTGCAAATATTAAAAAAATTAAAAAACAATCAAAGATTGTTTTTTTCTTCAGCACTATGCTAACTTAAATGTTTAAATATGCTAACTGCTTACTATGTTTTCCAGTTTCATAAATTTTTTAACAGATGTAAACTGTAAACATATATATTTTGTTATACTAAATTACAACACATCACACTAGGAATTATTGGTTCTGTGTACATTGTTATTTTGTTATACATATATTCATATTCTAAATGTTTAATGTTTGATGTAATATTTACCTAAGTGTTTAGTATCCCAATTTATCCCATCTGTAATGTTTTTAATACACATGTAATGACAGTATTTTCTTATTAAAACATTGTTGGTTGTATAATATTGCATCATAAGCTTCTCTAAGCTTCACTCTATCACTAAGCTTCATCTCTATAGCATGTGATGACCACCTCTATATGTTGGCAAGTACTACCTTTAATAGTAAACATACAGAAATTCCACTGTATTTTTATTAAGCTTAGTCATATACAAAATATTTTTAATTTGTATTTGAAAAATTTCAGTTTTAATTAATTTGTGTCACAAAATATAAATTAGTTATATGAAACTGATTCAATATCATATAATTCAAACAGTACACAAAAACAGTCAAAACTTAGTTTTCAAACTTAATTCATTCTTAAAAGTTATTTGAAAACTGATTTGTTCTCAAACCAAAATAAATTTTCCTATAAGAAACAATATAAAATAGATTAATCTCTTCCCGATTCCAATATAAAGCCTTATTTTAGACTTTTTAGCTGTATTTCATGTATAAAAGTGCCTACAAATGCAATGTAATATTATATAAAATATAATATAATATATNTAATTTAAATTAAGCAACTTTAAACATAAATTCTTAAATGCCATTTATATAACATGAATGTCAGTTAACACAGTTTTTATTAATTTCATTTAAATTTAACTGTGCATACACTGAAAAACAGTAGTAGTATTTTTCCTGTATGCACATTAAAATCTAATTTAAATAGCAACATCTTTGATGATTCATGTTGTGATGTCTAATGATGTAAGGTGATCTCGGTGCCACCAACTTCTGAATCAGTGGTCCTATCATTGATTAGTTGGCTGTTAACTTTCTTTAACATAGAAAGTATAGGGAGGTGACAATCTGTCTCTCTCTAATCTGTGGCCTGCTCTTGCCACATAGATTGTTTGGCAGGCAAGTTATTATATGGTAAGCAGGGCAAATATGAGTTCGAAATTTTGTTTCTGAACTGAATTGTTCAAAAAGCAAGACATTCAAAAGCCAAGGTTTGACTGTATAATATAATTTACTCTTAAAACTAATTTTTCTATTCTTTCATTAAATGTATAATTTATTTACCATGATCATTAGAGTTTTTAGCTTTTAATTCAAGCATCCGAACAATTGATTCTAAACTTTCAACTTTTCCTTGCAAATCTCTTTTATCATCTTCTACAGAATATTCCATTTCAAGAAGTCTCTGTTAAAATAATTAAATACGATAAACTATAAAATATTAAACTAATTAAGTATCATCAAATAATTTTTGTAATTTTGAAACCACGTTGGTAATTATTGTTATCTCCTAAACACCGTTGTACAAACACTTGAACACTAAGCAATTTTCATCTAAGTTTAAACTGAACTGAATAAACTTAGATGAAAATTGCCTAGTGTTCAAGTGTTTGTACTATGGTATTTAGGAGACAACAATCATCAAATAATATAAACTTTATATTACTAAAATATAAATAAATCAATTATTTAATTAATGTTATAAATATTATATAACTAAATATATTTAGCTAACCCACAGCCTTTGACATTCAAATACTTCATTAGAAATCCTGAAATAATAAATATCTGCTAATATTTTATATAAAAATATTTTTACCTAGAAAAAATTTTTAATGAAAATAAATGTTTTTGACAATATTTAACAAGTCACCTTCAGATTACATGCATGCATTATAAAAAATGCAACTCTAGTTTAGATTAAAATACAGATGCATTTGGCACAATCTTTTTTTATCATCTATCTAGCAAAAATGGAACCAAATAAACTTGTCCCATTTGTTCCTAGTTTTGTTTGCCATATTTGTTCAGTTCATTTTCTTGTCAGGTTTGTTTTATATCCTCTTTGATCTTATCTATCCAACATGCATTTTAAATTTTTTGTGATATTTATTTTGGGGTCCTATGCTGAATTAAAATTGTTCTTGTGTTTCAGGTTGTCAAACCTGTAAACAGCGATGCCAGATAGTTGAAGATAGTTATGACAAAATATATATGATAAAATGGCCAAATTTTTCCAAAAATCAGAAATTATAAAACATTGAAAACACAAAGAAGAAAATTTTATTTAATAAATCAATTAGAACAAAAATAACTCAACTCGTACATTTCTATATACAGTATATATATTACATATGATTTACAGAAACATCATTGTCAGTTTTTTCTTCATATGCATCTGCTACACTGCAACTGCATTTCTACTGTTATGTGCATAAAGTATGTCTGATTTGAAATTATTTAACATTGTATCTGTAATTTGCAGATTCTTGCAGCATATGGAATTTTCAGTAAGGTGTGCCTTGATTCCAGTAATTGTATCTAGAAGATGAAATTGAAGACTGCTTCTTGATTTTGGAAATGTTAAAAGATGGTATCATCCAACCATCCATTGAAGACTGCTTCTTGATTTCGGAAATGTTAAAAGATGGTATCATCCAACCATCAAATTCTCCGTGGGCCTCACCAGTCGTCATGGTTAAGAAAAAAACGGGCGATTGGAGATTGTGTATAGACTATAGAAAGCTAAATCAGGTAACAGTGACTGATAAATATCCTTTACCGATTATTTCAGAATTACTGACTTCACTTAAGGAAGCGAACTTTATAACTACGTTGGACTTATCGTCTGGTTACTGGCAAGTGCCGTTAAAGGAACAAGACAGGCCGAAGACTAGTTTTATTACAAATAGTGGATTGTATGAATTCCTAGTCATGCCTTTCGGTCTCAGANATAAGAATTTTAAATAATATCATGGAATCTTCAAATTATTTCACTTTAGAATGCAACATAACTCCTTCATCTTTGGATGGCTTCTAATCTGAGACAGGCCTGTAAATCAGGCCATAAACATTTGTTCAGTGTGTAAAATTAATGCTGGAAACACACAAAAAATGTGTTTGTATAATTTAATTTGTCAATTTTCACTGATATAATGTTGAAAGTCCTTTGTGCTAAGTAATTTAAAATGTCAATCTCAATAATAATTGTATTTTTAGGCTTTGTATCATCTCTATTTCTTAAAAAGAAAAAATTTCCTTTCTCTAAATAATTTTTCCTAAATTACAAGTACAGTACATCTTATAAGCTAAAATCTTAAAAGATAAAAATGCAGTAATTTCTTTCAAGATCAAACTAAAGCATAATTTAAAAATCAGTTCAAACTATCTTTTTAAAAATATAATAATATTATTTTCAAGTCAAAATCTTTTACATTTTAGCTAAATAACAGATACATTGAAAGTACACAAATTATAAGATTATACAAAATTTAAAAGATAGAATTTTTAATTAAATATCAACACAAGTTATATATTTTAAACTATGAATGCAATCAAAAACATTAAACTATTTTTAAATTTTGTATTTTTAATTGTAAAGCTTCTTGTAACTATAAAGCTTATGTCTTTCAATCATGCATAAAATAATAACTGTAAAGCATTAACATAAAATAAAATTGAATTTTACAGTTAACATAATTAATGAATTTTTATTTTATTTTAATAAATTATATATAGAGTAAACAGCACAAACAATTTATTAAACTACAAATCTAAATATTATAAATAATAAAACTGTTTTATTAATATTAAAAATGTAAATCAAAAATGATAAAAAAAGTATTCTTATGATTTATCATATAAAGTTGTTTATCATCAAAGTTTAATGTTATAAATTAATTAACCATTAACTAATCTTAAACTTATTTAAATATTTGAAACCAATATAGTAAATTCTATTATCTCAAATTCTTAAAGATGAGAAATATGAATTTTCAACATAAGAAAAATGTGTACTTAGTCAAGACACTTTAATACCTCTTATTTCTTACATTAGTATTATTACCTGTATGACCGAATGCTTACTAGAGACAAACTGATAAGCTACAGAAAATTGAATATATTCCCAAACACTTTTAGCATTATTACTCATCTTCAGGAAAGAGAAAATTTTTGACAAAAAATAATTGCAACTTATTAAAAAAATATATCAAAATTTTCAATGGTTTTGTTTCATTATACTAATTTCTTTTCTATTTTAAAGTATTTCCCTTTAAAGATGAGTACAAGTGCTTAAAATTGCTTGGAAGTATATTCATTTCAAATAGCCTATAAGTTTAACTCTAATTAAGCATTTGATTCTACGAATTTAATTGCTTATTGGAATCTGAAATTTCAGAATTAATATGTTACACTAAAATGAAGCAAGTATTCACAATACAATGAAAATTAAATAGTATATATATTTTAAAATTAAAAATATGCTTATATTTTTATAGATAGATAGTGTGTATCAAAAATTTCTAAATTATCTTCAAAATTCCTAATAAAATATTTTTATGACTTTACAATGGTTGTGTTAAATGAAATGAATATGATTATTCTAAATGAATATGATTATTCTAAATGAAAATTAATTTAATTCATTTTAAATATATTTTTTTTAATTTACGAATAGGCATCTATAACTTGTGAATGTTTCACAATAAAAATTCATAAATAATACATCAATGGATTCCTTATTATTGCTTTTAAATAAAACACTAGAAAATATATTTGCACAAATGAACATTTTTAATATCATGAATTATTTAATGTATTAAAATATTATTTAACATTTGTATTCATTTTGTTGAATCTAATTAATTTCCTTTTTTTTTTTTTTTTCTTCTTCTTCTTCTTTTTCTAAGAATCTCAACTAGTAAATAAGTTTTTAACCCCACGAAGAAGTATTCTAAAGTCGCATCGCTCCGCTGTGTTGCGTTTGTAATATGTAGGCAATGCAAAATTGAATTTTAGAGTAGTAAAATAGGATTTTAAAAAATTTGTTTTCGGTATTATAAGCGGGGAAATTTAATTTTTAATTTTTAAAAAAAAGTTAATTAAATGTTTATATTTTAAAGAATTTTCGGTGGAATTAATATTAAAATATCGCCTTTTTTTTAAAGAGTTAATTAATCCGAAAGTAGCTCTGTTGATTCAGTTTATATAAAGATTAATATATTTTCTTTAAGGAAAAACATTATTGTATAGTTTAAAATTGTAAGAAAATTTAATTAAATTTTAAGGATTTTAAGTAATTACGTCCGTATAGATATGAAATTTTATACATAATTAAGAGTTAAATTATATTATAAAATGCGAGAGAAACTATAGATGAAATTTCTAACTGTTAATGAATTTTTAACATAATTTTAATGGGGAAATTTCGAATAAAAACTATAAAATGTAAATGTTTAATTGTAATCAATAAATAAAGAGAAAATCCTTTTCCATTTTATCAAAACATAACAATTGAAGAGGAACCATCCTCCCATTGGTGATAGATAAGCTTGCATCTCTTCCTTTCTCTCTCTATTCAGTTGCACAGTAATATTTACAAGCTATAGCTAGATAGGGTAAAGTGTGTATAGCGAATTTTATTGGGAAATAAGTTCAATCATCCTCTAGTTTTCGTATCCTCGGCTAAAATTACATTACATTCGATCCTAACTCCACACGAACCACTTTCTCATTTCCTTCGTTTGCGGGAGACACAGGTGGTCTACTAAATCTATTGCCAGCTCCATCAAATCCAGTCGCTGCAGAGCTGCACCTGAGGGTGGTTGCCGGTGATGTCATCGATTCATTGTAGCAAACGTAATTGGAAGCTGCTGGCTTTACTTCTCCCTATCTTCCTTTGTCTGCTTTTAATACAAATTCCGATTCGAATATATATATCTGATACTTATTAAAGATAATGCAGAAAATCTGCAATTTTCTATGTAATTTAAGAGCATCCTTCCCTGCTTGAAAGATGCTTAACATTTAGCTGCATCTATAGAGATGGTACGGAGATTTGGCTGCGGTTTAGAGTCAATAATTCGTATTTTAATCCACTATACATCCACCCAAGATATTAAAACTGACGCTGAAGGTGGGATAAACAATCTTCACTCGTTGCAGAAGGGAGAGAAGTAGAGATTAATGACTTTTCCCCACTGGTAAAATTATTTTCCGAGATAATCTATCCCTTAACAATANTTTTTTTTTTTTTTTTGAAGCCATACTATATCCTTTCAAATTTGAATTTTGCCACTTAATCTAAAGATGTAGTTTCTAATGTAACCATATTTGGATTACTAATTTGTTTTCACTTTACCACTGAATACAAACATTAAATTCAATATGTAAGCATATATATAATAAAAAAATTTAAATATACATTAATTTTCCAAATGAAAATGCATTGTAAAATATCAAATGCATTTACTTAAAATACAAAAATTTGATAGAAAATCTGTTTTTAAAAAATATTACGCAAAATCAATTAAAAAGCTATAAACACAAACTGGCATATTATAACAAGATTTTATCTTTGCCAGAGAGTATTAATGGCTTCTGAAAAATATTTTTATTTACATTACATTTACATATAATCATATTTCAATCTAATTCTATGCATTAATTGCATAGAAATACAGTAAAACAATTACATATTCTCAATCATAGAATACAGTATAAAGGGCTTGTAAAATACCCTATAAAGTTGTTATTGAATGTTTTCAAATAAAAAAAGCATTAGAATTTGAAATCAGACCAAATTATACAATACAAAGATATAAAATAATTAATTTTATTTTATTTGTAAACAAACCTAATCTTTGATTAAATAATGAAATTAATTATATTAGATTGTATATTACCTGTTCTGTAGCTTTTCTTAGCTGTTTTTCTCTTTCATATTGGGTAACAAGTTGTTCATTATCTTCCCTGAGCAATTCAAGTTCTACTTCATGCTCTTGGTTTTCCATTACAGCTAAATCTAAGTTTTCTAACACATTAACTACCAAAGGCATCAATTCTTTTACGACATCTTCGTCGTATTTACCTATCATTTTCTCAAATTCCTGATATATACTACCAGCTAATGTCTGCACTTTTTCTGACATCACAACAGAATTATCATCACTATTAGTTCCATACACAGTTTCTTGCATCACATCTGTATCCATATCCATGATTACGAATTCAATTTATTCAGCCAGATGTATCTAATTTACAGATAACGTTTCATGATATTTACTTAGTCCAAGAAATAGAAAAGCAATTCCTACATCGCTCATATATCCTAACTGTGTTAAACATATACATAACTTGTTTTCAAGCCAGAGCAACTAATCAGAAAACACAAGACTGAACGACAACAGTGCCACCTTCTTTCTTATTTCTGTTCATTAAATATTTTTAAGCGTGTATAGTTTTTAAAACAAAATAAATTAAAATTAAGCTTAATTAATTGCGTATTATAAAACACAAAGAAGAATAAAATTATATAAAAAATATCATCAAATTTACAATAAATATTTCTTATTCTTTCTGTTTAAATGGACATTNCGGTTAATTTTTTAACATTATACAAGAATTGTATACGTTTTTTTCTACATCCCCTTATAGATGGATTATACGAAAACGTAATATCACTGGTTTAACATTGAAATTCGTGAGTAATATAAAATCGGAGAGCGGAATAAATATATGAAATATTTTAACGTATTTTTTTAAACTTTTGTCAACTATACAGAAAACTATCATAAAAACATACAGGTAAATTATTATCAGTTGGGTTAAGTTATAAATCTACTCGTGATTCACGTAATCGGGCAAGGGCGGCCAAATATCTAGCGGGCAGGTGGCTAATGGCCCGGAACCGGTCCCGGATAGAATTGGATGCGGTATACGTGTAGCAGCCACCCAAGGTCCTAGGCTTCCATCGGCTAAACCGGGTGAGGTTGGTGCTCTGTAAAGCGCGTGCGCGAATCTGGCTTTTTGGATGCTGACAATACAGCGTTTCCACTCCACCACTAATATTCGAATATACAATAGCAATCTTATCTCTTTTTTCACGCGTTGTATAGAAATTTGTAATAAGATACATAATGCGGTTATAATAAAATATTGTGCGATTATTTTCATATAATTAAAATTAATATGTATTTATTTTTTAAAAAATACGAGGGGAGCTGCGCTTCCACCGCTTCTAATGACGGCACGCCACTGCCGTCATGTGATTCGAATAATGTAGTTTATGCCACAATGTATTTAGAAATTATATGGGCACTTTTAATGCACGAAATTAAATTAAAGAATTTAGCCATCGATTTGTGTATATAAACGAATAAATTACTTTGCAAAAATTTAATTTTGATATCGTGTTATAAGGATGTTTCTGACTAATTAGTGTTTACTAAATTGTAAAACGAAAGTAAACTTGATGATGACTACCCAAAATCAATTATCTAGGTAATCTGGATGAGTTTAGAAAATCGACTAACACAGAAATAAAAAATAATATAAAAATATAAAAATATAAAAATTTAATTTTAAAGCTTAATATTAATACAGTNTTTTTAGAAAATACAAGGAAGCGGCGCATCCACCGCTTCTAATGACGGCACGCCATTGATCTGTTTCCAAATACTTTAAGGTCACCGTGAGCCTCTCATGGGGTGAAATTGCTGCTCGCATTACAGTATTTTGTTTTTTTGATTTGTGTAACCAATGGTAACAGATTTAAATACGTTTGTTCGTCCATTCTTAAATAGTTGTGCCAATCTTTAGGTACTAACCTCAACTCTGAGATCAGGTTCACATGAGAATACGATCCTCTTTTTTTAAGCCACTCTTTACACCATAGACTTGCAGGCACATGTTTTTTCCCGCGAGTTTTAGACTTAACTTTTTCTAATCACTAATCACGCAATGAAGGAAGTCAATATCTCTGACGTAAGGCGAACAACACTCCGATACATAAGATGCATAAATTGTAAAGTCCAGATTAGATTCAATCGTCATCGTCCACAACACAAGGAATGATGTAAACATTCATGTGGCAGCAAAAAACGCAGCGAGTAATGTTATCGATTTTTGCAGCAAAACTCGATTTAGAGCCATGCTTTCTCGAGCAACGAAAATTTGTTACGCCAAGCACAAATTAATCGATCCTATCGATTCCACGTGACTATTTTCTTTCGATAATCGTACTATGTTATTACTTGTGATGTCACTTACAAGTTGCCACGTTGGGGTTTTCCCCAAAATGTTGGTTTTATAATAGGGAAATTCTACAGCCTATTCTCCAAGGGAAAATTGGGGAATATATAAATTTTTATTTAATGATAATTTAACTTATAATTATTAAAATTCAATTGTTTTTAAACCTTTCATTTCACTCCATTAGACTACCTAAACAGATAAAAGTTCGATTAATTTTGTTAAAAATCTGTAATGCTACGAGAAATTATTTATAGTGACATTGTCACAATGCTGGGCTACAATTTTTAATAAATCTTTAATTTAATATATATTCTCTCCACCTCAAATTAGTAGTGGCTTGCCCCTGTACATCGTACTTTTCCTTTAATAATAAAGTTGTGCCGGTCTATATAACATTTATCAGGAGAAAATTTTTGAATTGAAATAACATGACTTCCACTTTGTATCAGAAGTTCTTATATAGTTAATTGGGGTCTCCTGCCCCTAAGGTTTCTATATTTGGTCTCATCTTTCATCTATCTAACTTCATAATCAAGATTAAGGAAAGACAGATGTACGGACAGAGGACAGTAGGAATTTATAATCTACAATTTGTTCAAATTGCAGCTTAATTATGTGATTTTATAATAGCATTCTGACAGAACTAAAGAAATAAAATAGTAAAGAAGGCGATCAAACAGACTGCCTTTAATAAGTAAGTCACAAAGAAATCTTGCATATTTGCTTTTGAAGAAATGTAAAAGAAATTTTTGGTAATAGATGGTGGTAAAAATTATTAGCTTGTATATGATTATAAAAAAGTTACATTTACTCTCATAGTTTTTGAAGATTTTGCAAACAAATATGGGCAAAGTTATTGATAGATAGTACTTAATTTATTAAACAAGACCCTAACTTGCTAGATCAAGACAAAGACTAAGATCTGAAACAGTCAAGTTCAAGATTTTAATTAACTGTCAAGACCAAGATGCAAGATTCTGACACCTTATGACAATGACTTTTTTAACCTGCAAGAATTTAGAAATCCTTACATAAAATATAATTTATAAAGCAAAAAATACTGTATAAAGAGGAAACACTTTATTATAAAAAAATAAACAGTTAGGAACTTAAAAAGCATGTAGCTGGATATTAAGTACCTTGTGAAAAAAATAAACTTGACAAGGAATTGTGCATGTCAAGATGGCAAGTATTGCTGTGATAGATCGAGATTGCTCTCTATAGCCCTGTTCATTTTATCTAAAAAGTATACATTCTGACATCACCAGTGGTACATTATAGCTTCATGGGGTCCAGGGAAATTTGAATTGAGGACCTCCTGTATAATATTGACTTCAGACATTTTTCTTCAGGGGAAATTTTCTTTAAAAGATTTGTTTGGGTCTTCCTGTGGTGAGGGCCCCAGACAATTGCTGTTTATGCCCATAATGCACTAATGGACTTCTTTCTTAAAACTAAGTTGTTTGATTCATCAGTGCAATGCTGTTTGTTTAGTTGGTATAGTGTCTTTATTTATACTTTTCTACATTAGCACAAAAAATCTGTGTAAGACAAAATACTGTATCTCAACTAGTCAAATAAGCATTGAAAATAGTGATATGCATGCTGTAATTCAAGAGTATAATATCAATTTTTGTAGATTCATTTAATGTGGAAAACTGAATTCTTAATAAGTTAATTCAATGGTTTTTTTGTCATCCTTACTTTTATGTCAAATAATCAAAAACATCAGTTAATGATGAGAATTACATTATCAGTTTTTATTACTCAGCATCACTTTACTATATTGCATATTTATAAATGTTAAATTTTAACTAAACACCAACCAAATGCTGAAATTCTATCAGGCTAGTTTAAGGCTAATTACTAAATGAATTAAGTAACCAATTTGGCTCTAGTAATTAGTCTTAAACTAGCCCAATAGAATTTCGGCATTTGGTTGGTGTTTAGCTATATCATATATCGGGTTTAGCAATGTTTGTAGTTAAATTTTAATTCAATTTTATTTATTAAGGTTTTTTTTTATTTGACTACTTAAAATAAGAAAATGTAACCTCATTAAACATGTGCAAATTGAGTACATACCATAATCTGTTCTGTACATTTAGATCATGTTTTGGATGCAATCAGTTTCTACACTAATTATGTCATTCACAGTGAATATGTCATTTAGAGACAAAGTAACAGAACTTATATGGTCAGATCAACTAATAATGTTCTTACAGCACTGATTATTATGAAACTGAAATTATAGCAATAATAAAGATGTTTGCAAACAGTCAGTCTTTAAAATCAAATCATAATGAGGAAAATAAACATTTGCAATTTGTTTTAAGAAAGCATTTGCATTGAAGAACTCTGATATACTGATACTGTTATAAAATGATATAAAATGCCAAATAATAATAAAAAGAGGGACCAAAAATAAAGACATTTTTGCAACTCTGCAAGAAAATTGGGTTGAGAAATTTCATTTTGTCAATTTTGACAATTGTCAATGAAGAAAGGCCAGGACACCTCACTTTCATTTTGATCTACGAGAACAAGTCAAAACTGGATGCAGTATACAAGTAACAATTGATTATGTGACAACAGAAATTGGATGTTCCATCAAGTTAGCACACAATCATGCATGATCAGTTGCATTATTGAAGTGTGAGTAAAATGAACTGAGAGAGTTTACCCTGAAAATAAAACAGGATCACATAGGTATCTGCCTAGAAAATCTGGTATACAACAGAAGAGGAGCACAATGCTATGGTGGCAACTGGTAATGGGTCATGGGGATACTACATTCAGCCAAAGTTAAAACATGCATTTATGATGTGGAAGAGCATAAGCTTGTCAGAAACCAAAAAGTTCAGCCATATTGACTATCTTTTGAGACCCTGAAAAAATTCTCCTGATAAAGTTTAACAAGATGACAATGTCAACGGCATCACCTCCTCTTAAATGTTGTATGACAAAAGTATTGCAATTCATAAGAAATGACCAAAGCTGCTGACAGAAGTGATACTTCTCCATGACAATGCCAGGCCTTATACTGCACACAATATCCTTGCTACTATACAAAAATTAGGATGGATATCCAACTTAGTCTCAACCTGACTATCAGTGCCTTCCACTTGTTTGGACTCCTAAAAGAATATCATGGTGAAAACTTTCTGAA